AATTTTTTAATATTTATTTTTTAGTTCTCGGCAGACACAACATCTTTGTTGGTATGTGGTGCTGAGGATCGAACCCGGGCCGCACGCATGCCAGGCATGGCGCGCTACCGCTTGAGCCACATCCCCAGCCCCTTGATGTTTTGTTTGATTGTGAAAAAAACTGGATCTGTGGGTGATTCAGTCTTCTAGTTGTCTTCTCTTGGTTTCCCTCCTCCAGAGCAGGGTTTTTCTAAGAGCATCTCTATTTAGAATATGTTCCTTCACACGAAAAAGGGGAGAAGAAAAGGGAAATGGTGAGAAACAAACAAACCAAAAGAAAAGAGTGAAATCAAAAGAATGAGAGGATGAGTCAAACACTAGGAGAAAATATTTGCCAAAGATATATTGAATAAAGGACTTGTATCCAAAATACACCAAGAACTCTTAAAACTGAACAATAGGAAAGCAATAACCCCATTAAAAACCAGGCAATCTCAAGAGATACCACCAAAGAAGATATTCAGTTCAGATGGAAATAAGCATATGAAAAGATGTTTCACATCATATGTCATTAGGGAATTACAATTAAAACAGCCATGAGCTACCCCTACATACCTATTTGAATGGCCAAAGTCCTATTCATCAACAATACCAAATGCTGGTGAGAATGTGGAGCAATAGGAACTCGAATTCATTGCTGGTGGGAATGAAAAGTGGTTCAGTCAATTGGAAGACAGTTTAACAGTTTCTTGTAAAACTAAACATATTCTGCCATACAATCTAGCAATCATGATCCTTGATGTTTACCCCAAGGAATTAAAAACTTATGTTCACAGTCAAAATACATTCTACTGTCATGTATAACGAAGTGGAACAACAATTGTTTTTATATCTATCAAAAAAATAACTTGTATTTTTCTACCTGTTTTGTTTATAGTTGCCAAAACTTGGAAGCAATCCAAATATCCCTCAGGAAATTAATGGACCCATACACAGTGGTATATACCGATGATGGACAATTATTCATCACTAAAAAGAAATGACCTATCAGGCTATGTGAAGACATAGAAACTTCAGTTCATATCTCCAAGAGAAAGAAGGCAATCTGTAAAATCTGTATACTGTATGATAGCTGTATAACATTCTGGAAAAGGCAAAACTATGGTGACAGTAAAAAGATCAAAGGTTGGGAATTGGGAAGGATGAATAGGTGGTACATGAAGGATTTTTAGGGCAGTGAAACTGTTTTGTATGATACTACACTGTTATACATACTATATATTGTACATTTGTCAAAATCCATCTGATGTACAATGCTAAGAATGAACCCTAATATAAACTATAGAGTTGGGGTGATAATAATGTGTAGGCTCATTGATTCCAACAAATATAC